TTGTTTCTGTTTCTGAGACAAGATTTCACCACGTAGCCCAGGCAGGCCTTGACCTTGAGATCCTCCTGTTTCAACCTCCCAAGTGCTGGGACTGTAAGTCTATGTCTTCCTGTCACCATTGCTGAGAAAATGGCCATTGGGGTCCTGATTCATTCAGGTCAACAGATAGGCAGACATAGAGCTCAGGTTGCTGAAGTAGCTTCCATAACAGAACTTTGGTCAATATGGACTCTGTTGGTGGTACCTAAAATAGCAGATTCATTAATTATGATGACCTTGACAGTTGACAGAATTGTATTCTATCACATGATAATTCATCATACCAGCTATTTTGCCCTTTGAAACCTGGACATGCACATGAACCCCCTTGTACATATCTTTGACCTCATTGTTTCTCTTTTACCTTGGTGATGAGCACCTGAGAGATTATTAATTATCTCAAATAATGTGTTGTTTTCATAGACTGTCCAAAGCCTTTGTGCTGTCTACTTACCAGTGAAAAGTCTAATCACTGAAGAGGGTTGGGGAGATGGCTCAGTGGGTAAAGTGCTTAGCCTACGCATAAGAACTGCAGTTTGGATCCCCAGCACCCAAGGAAGTGCCAGGTGACTGACCTGTAATCCCAGCACTTGGGAGGCAGGGACAGGGGATTCCTGGAGCAATCAGGATAACTAGACTAGCTATGTTGAACCAGTGAGCTCTGGGTTCAAGTGAGAAACTCCACCTGGATTTATAAGGTGGAAAACAATCCAGAAAGATACTGATGTCAAACTCTGGCCTCCATACATGTGATTGTACACCTTGTACACCACTAACACATGAAAACACATGTACACATAACACTCATAAGCACACACACACACACACACACACCAATGTAAACAACTGTAATATGGCAAGATCCAAGAAAGATATTCAAGCCAGGCGTGGTGGCGCTCACCTTTAATCCCAGCACTTGGGAGGCAGAGGCAGGCGGATCTCTGTGAGTTCAAGGCCAGCCTGGTCTACATAGTGAGTTCCAGGACAGCTGGGGCTACAGGAGACCCTGTCTCAAAACAAAAACAAAAACAAAAACAAAACCAAGAAAGATATTCTGGCAAACAATGTATCTCCCTGTAGTTCCACATGCTCTTATAAACTACATGAAAGGCTGTGGAAGCAAGACTGTACATAGCTGTCTGGAATGTAAGTTTGGGTGGAACAGTCAGCATGCTCTCAAGGTTTGTGAAGCGCCTGTCATCAGGAGATAGAGAAAATGACGACAGACTGTTCTGGTCCAGCCAGCTCACAGACATTCCTCATCCTGGTGTAAGCTTTCACACACCTGCCAGTTTAATCAGAGCTCAGCTTTCTAGGCAATTCTGCATCTTCAATGCCACCTCACACATACACAGATGTCCGCAAGAACCCACATGTGTTCCTATTCTTCCGTCAAATAGTGCATTTCTACAAACTACTTGGGAGGGAGCACAATTTACTAAAAAATGTGTGATTTAACTAAAAACAGTAAATTAGATGCGTATCGAAGGGAAAATCAGAATTCCACTATTTAGAGTTAACTGATGAAAATACTGACATATACTTTATAATTTTCTGTTTGAAATTTTGTTTATTTGTATTTCAAGTATGAGTGTCTTCATGCATGTATATAAGTGTACAAACCACGTGCGTGCATTGTCTGAAGAGACAAGAGGAGGTTTTTGGAGCCCCTGGCACTGGAGTTACAGATGCTTGTGAGTTTCCATGTGGGTGCTGGGAACCAAATCTGGGTTATCTGCAAGAGTAGTAAGTGCTTAAGTGGTCTTTAACAGCTGAGCTGTTTATCTAGCCCATCTATCATTTTATTCTGTGCGCAAAACAACATTTGTTTTTTATAATTGAATCACATAATATATCTTCCTGACTTGCTTTCTTTGAACGAACACTAGCTTTAGCACGTGCAGATAGTTCCTTGATGTGAAGTGACCATGATTTATCTTTTGGTAGGCACACTGATTATTCTAAACTATCAGTAATATAATAATTGGCATTTCTTTTATGGGAATATTCTCCCAACATCTGTGTTGGTGGCTAATCAGTTAATGGTCTCCTAAGCTGGTCCCTGGAGCAACTGCTCTTTGTGGCCAAGCTCATGAGTAAAGGAGAGAATGATGAATGCCTGGGCACTGGCTGGTGTTCGGGAGCAAAACCAGGCCCTTGGCGCCTTCAGCAGACAACTCTATGCCTTTTCACAGCTGGTGATCATGCTGCTGTTCACAGGGGAGAGAAGAGGATCAGAGTGTGCACGCCATGGAACTGAGGGGCTTTAAATGCACACACCTCCAGAGCAAGGCCAGCTCTTTCATGCAATTACACTGAGCACATTTGCTCCTGAATATACAAGGCAGAGTTTTGGCTAAGCTATGAGATGCCCAGAAGCATATTTAATCACTAATAGAAAATGTGCACTTTAATATGTAAGGCAAGAATGCTATTCATTTATCCTTGAACCAAAACCAATGTGATGGAATTCTTGCAAAAGGACAATAGATTTCACAGGTCTGCTTTGTTCACTCTGTGTCTTCAGGGCCTAGCCTGCTGCCAGGCCCAAAGGAGGCAAATGGCTATTTGGTGAGTGAAGACAGCGTAAGGTGAAAATATTCAATCCAATTGCCAGTCAAATCTTGGTCCTGCTTCTGTGAGGAATGTGGCCCTTGTAGGTCTTTCTTCAATCACAGTGTATAATTTTGGGGAGCAGTGATGCACAAGTCTACATCGACCCAGGTACTCTTGTCCAAGAAATATTTTCTACATTTTATTTAGTTATAGCACATTTGGCTCTGAAGTATGATACATTATGGTCCTTGAAAAGGAACCATTTCTCAAGGGATCTGCATGGCCTGCAAGATCCTGTTTCTTTTAAGAAACATCAAGCCACCCTGGAACCCTTCCCAAGGATACGCTGCTACAGAAACACTTAGAAATATTTAATGCCTCAAAATACTGAACCCTTGTGATGAATGGTCAGAGGCTTCGCTGATAATTAGTTGTGCTTTGAGAATAGCCTCGAGGAATGAAAGTATAATTGAAAATATGGCTGTACTTGTGGAGGCCATTTAAGTGTCAGCTTTGTCCTGGGTGTTAAATAGAAAAGAAACTCAAGGATGAACTGATCAGTGCATAATCGTGCATTGCTGTGACTACCTTGACATGAGCAAGATGCCTTGGGAACAGCAAGGAGGGAGGAGGTAGAAATTCACTGTGATGAAGATGAGGAACATTATGTGACGTGGAGATGATCCCATTCTTATGTGAGGCTTGGAGGATGGGTAGGAATTTGTCAGGCAGAGAAATGCAGGTGAGGAGTTTAAAGCAAATGGAGTTACACAAATGGATGTTCAAAAGCCCAGATGAGCAAGATGCCTTGGGAACAGCAAGGAGGGAGGAGGTAGAAATTCACTGTGATGAAGATGAGGAACATTATGTGACGTGGAGATGATCCCATTCTTATGTGAGGCTTGGAGGATGGGTAGGAATTTGTCAGGCAGAGAAATGCGGGTGAGGAGTTTAAAGCAAATGGAGTTACACAAATGGATGTTCAAAGGCCCAGGGTGTCTCTGGGACAAGTGAAACCTCACCAGTAGTGGGAACAGAGGGTATGTGTAACAGGAGATGAGGTTGTAGAGGTCAAGTTTCAGGTGTATCACCCAACAACTACTATGGGGTTTGCTGTGTAGATAAAATATTTTATTCATGATTTTTATTTTTTATGTGTGTGAGTGTATTGCCTGTATGTATGTAAGTGTACCTATGTCATGCAATGCCAACAGTGGACAGAAGAGAGCATCAGATCCCCTGGAACTGGAGTTTTGGACAGTTGTTAGCTGCCATGTGGGTGCTGGGAACCCAACCTGTGTCCTCTGCAAGAGCAGTCAGTGATCTTCAACCACTGAGCATCTCTCTACCCCTGACTATGAAAGTTTCGATAAGAGACTTCCATCCTTTGGCCATCGGTGTCTTCAATGCACATAAAGACCTTTTTTGTGTGTGTGACAATAGTCTTGATTTTCATTTGGAACTTTAGGTTTTCTGTATCATCTCTTAATCCGTATGGCACAATGTTCCAAGCATCATTTAATGATATTGCATTCATTTATTTCTTTCTTGTTTTCATAACCAAGATGTTTTCAAAGTTCTCTTTTGTTTTTTGGTGCAATAAACAAAATTTTTCCCTTAAGTGTTTGTGTGTGGTGTCAAAGCTGGGCTTGGCCATTTGCCTGATTTTAATACACAGCGAAGACCACTTGGAACTGAGTCCACAAATAATCTCTTTACATGGTGAGTCGTCAGAAAATGGACACAGGGAAGCACAAGAATGGAAGCACAGAGGTGGACTAATTTCCACAAAGCACTTTGGAAGTTCCACTGCACACTGTGGGGATGTGTAGCACACACTAGCACTCGGGAGGCAGAAGCAGGTGTATCTCTGAGCTCAAGGCCAGCCTGGTCTATGAAGCAAGTTCTAGGCCAACTGGAGCTACAGGGAGATCCTGTCTCCAAAAGACGGAAAAAAAAAACAAAACCCCAAAAAAGAACAAACAACAAACAAAGAAGCTGCTTATAAGCTATGTATAATTTGCTTAAGTATACTAGAGTTCTCCATTGAAATATGCAAACGTGTGTTTCCTTTGAAATTATTATTCCCAGAAGCACAAGGCTAGTTACTGATATTTGTGTTTATTTTCCCTTAAATCACTCTGTTTGTTCACAGCTGGATTCCACAGAAGTCAGCATTTTTGTAGTCCCAATATCAGTTTGAATTAAAATATTTAAATCTCTGTGTCCATGATTTATTCCTTGGTTCATTTATTTTCCAAAATAGCAGCACATTGTGGAAAGTGGTACGGGTGCCATGTAGCATAGGTAGTCAAGTTGAAAAAACATGGGACCAAATAGTGTAATCAAGGCTTTCCCACAGACGTCTGTAATCAATCGCTTTCCCTATTGTGCTTATTTTCTAGGTGACAATGGCCAACATTGGAATAAACAGAAGCCATTCCCTAGAGACCTGTGAAACAACTCTCTTTGCTCTCCGCATGGCAACGTGGAATCAGATCTTGGATCCCTGGGTCTATATTCTGCTCCGGAAGGCTGTCCTCAAGAACCTGTATAAGCTCGCCAGCCGCTGCTGTGGAGTGCACGTCATCAGCTTACACATCTGGGAACTTAGCTCCATTAAAAATTCTTTAAAGGTCGCTGCTATTTCTGAGACACCAGCTGCAGAGAAGTCAAGTCAGCAGGCATCAAGTGAAGCTGGACAGTAAGTCAGGGTAGGGCTACAAAGAGAGGAAGGAAAGTTTTGGCAGCATCTCAACTGATTAGATAAATATACATGGCTAACTGGAAAATTTGGACCTCAGTGTTCACATACTTGGGCATGCTTTGGACAGACTCAGCTTTTGAAATTTATTGTCTTGGCTGCTGCTTGAGCACCCATTTTTGCTTGTTTCATTAACAGAACGGAGACTGCCAGTGCTATGGACTCAAGTAAAAAATAGTTTTGAGCTTATCTGTGTTTTGGGAATGAATGAATTCTTTGAGGCTTCATGCATTTACCTGTCTCCTTGGTTCAAGAATACCTTAATGCTGCCTGTACCGTGAAGTGGCCATTTGGGGATCACTGCCCTGCAGCGCTTCCTTATAGACTGGGTTCAAAGAAGCACAAGACTCTAACTTTGTTGTGGGGGCTCTGGTCTCTTTACCAGTCCACATGCCTCCACCTACAGATGCCTGGCCATGACGCCTGGGACTCTCCGTGGCTTGTGATAACTGCTACCAAGGCCAGGTCAACTGATAGGTAGTCTGACCCTGTGAGGCTGTTTAGGATGGCCCATTTCTTGATATATTTGGAAAGCTGTGTCTTCTTGCATTTGTTATTATGAAAGTCAATTATTATTTGATGGGTGTTTTTGTTGTCATAGATTTTCAGTTTCTAAGTAATCTTTTCCTTGGAAAGTTGTAGAGAAACAGGACTTTATCTTAGCACAGATCCAACACACAGAAGCAGTATCTATAAAGCTCTACCACAGGCAGTGCAAGCCATTTAAACCCCAGCAATTCATTGCGAAGAACATTGACTGAGCTGCTTTGCGATGAGCCATCATTTCTGTGTCTGAGAATAAAAGAAAAACAATCCAGATATATCCAAAGACTGCTTGCAGCCTGAGTGTTTCTTCTTTATGTATACACAGGCATTCACACACACACAAATACCAGGAAATTCTGCTGATGGCAGTCTCACTAGATCTGCAAGACCACGTCTTCAAAAGCCCGTGTTGTCAGTGTTGGGGTGAGATTTGAAATTGGCCAGGTCCTGGGGGCTCACTGTCAAGGTTAACCAGAGACCAAGGAGCAATGATCTCCTCCAAAATTTCCCAATTAGAATTCAGTCTTTTTCTTTGCCTATTTAAGAACACAAAGGACTTTAGATTTTAGTACAAATTCAAAACATAATCTATCAGCGACTAGGGTAAGTAGTTCTGTTTTATGATAAATGCATTTTTGTACTTAAAAAGTCCATGCTTTCATCAAGTTTGGGTCTATTTAAAAATTAGTTTTCGCTGTGAAACAGATCAGATTCTAGGAAGTTTGAAAATTCATTTAGCGTCTTCATACATTTCTGCTTTTGATTGGTAAGTTGCATTGAAAGTAATTATTAATTTTGGAAAATTCTCATGAATAAATGAAAAAAATTAGCAAATAGACTTGTTGGAGACTTAATCAGTTTTCCATGAATTTAAAGAAAAAATACATAAACATATGATATTAACATAAAGCAAGTAAGTGATCAATCACATAGTTGATTCTTATATAAACAGTACATTATGGCTAACAGACAAGAATTTCTTGGTGTAAATTGGGAATTGTAAAGGCTGTGCACATTTTGAATTTAAGCTGCCAATTACACATTGGTTATTGTGGTGTATATATGTGGCATGCATGTGTGTGCATGTATACATGTGTATATGTGCATGCATGTGAGAGTGTATATCATGTATATATGTGTTTATGTGTATATGCATGTGAGCGTGTATGTGTGTGTGTTCATGTGTGATTAGAGTGTGTATGATCATAAACAGCCATTACAATTTGTGATTGCTGTTACATGGCAAAATGTTATCATGTGTTTCAAGAACACTTAAAGCCCAGAAGAACTTTCAGAGAGTTGTTACTTTCAGATCAGATGTTTATTTCCTACTGAGATTTAAGGGTGTTGGTGTCCTGCAACCCGAAGCATAAGAGACCAAATCTCCATCTCCTCATCACAGTGGGTCAAACAATATTTCCATGCATTTCTCCTGGGGAAAGGCACTGAGAAGAAACCCATGCTTGGAGGCCTCAGGCCTCTTTCCCCTGAGCCTTCTATCACAAGGCAGAATTAGCCCTCTGTTGCCATGACGTCACCCTGGCTGTGTGTCTTCACTGAGGAGATCTTCTGATAGCACCATGTGTGGGATGCAAGACTTTGAGGAGTGACGGAGGAGTTATTCTGGGCATGGTCTGGAAGTGGGATCTGTAGTACCTGAACATAGCTTTAGGGCAATTTAACTGATCTTAAGATGATGCTAATCCAAAACTGTAGATATCAAAAATTTAAAAGTTGAAAAAAACCTGATCTTAGACTTTTCTTTCAAGGAAAAACACAAACACCACAGTTGAGCATCTGACTTCAAAAGTTTTGTTTCTGTTATTGTACTTGCTGTGTAGACTTAAGCAATTTACTGTGTAATGAGCCAAGTGCAAGCGTATTTGTTCTTATTATTTAAAATAAATAGTAGAAATAGTTCTGACAGGTTCATCAATTGGAATATTTAAGCTGTGTTTTAAAACTGATAATCTGTTGCATGGGGTAAACTAATGTCAACACAACCACATACTATTTAAGCTTTGGATTTCTGGAGGATTACGTTTTCTAGGCACACACTAAACAAGTCAGGCCATTTAGAGTGTATGAATTTTAAAATGAAAATTAGATAAACTGCATATTGATTTTAAGGATTATGAATAAAAAAAATACCTATCAAAAATTAGTTGTGGGCACCATCCAAAATCATCAGAAAGTTACCGGTGTGTTTAATCAGGTGATGGAAATATTCCTTTTTAATTTTCATTTTTTTTCTAAAAATAGAAAATTCCTAAATGTCAATACACATAGATATACATAATAGATATCTGTCATATAACAACTAGTTTTGCCTTTTCACTTTCAGATTTAAAAAAATAACCTACCTTATGTGAGTGTAGGACCTAAGTCAGGGCACTAAATACACAGACTGAGCTTTTGAGAAAACTTACTGTCTTTACCTGCATACCACCAGTGACTCAGAATGAATTGCTTTCTAGGGCCAAAATATAAAAACTGAGAATGTGTATTTTCTTAATTCTTCATCTGGCTATCAGAAGAATTTACCACCTGATAAATAATGTTGGACTTCAAGTTGTTACTGGTACTCTTTAATTGGAGATGAAATGAAATTTTCCCAGTTGTGTGACAAATGTATTTTGTGTTCGTCATCCTTGTAAACGAGATGAAATACCGACGATTTGTGCAGGGTGTTACTTGCACCAGTATGCAACACATGCAGCTTAAATGCTTTGACTAGCTTGAAGCTTCAATTGATTTTATAATAAACTTGGACTAATGCTTATCAAGAGTGGTTATTTTGGGGAAGGTCATGCAAAACTTGAAACTCTTCCATGGGAATTCTCATTTTTATTTGCTTACTCTTCACGACTACCTCTGGCTGTCCCCTCCCCTGCAGATTCTTCTGTGGTGTTTGTGCTCTTTTTATCCTTCCTTACCTTCCCTCACAGGTCTCACAGATCTCATTGATTAAAACATCTGGTTGGTGTAGATACAGTCAGGTCTACAGATGTCTATCATAACAGCCCAGTTGTCAGTGCCATAGTCCTCATAAAGGTTTCTAACTTGCCTTGTGGCTCCTGTCTAGCCAGAAAGAGTTTGGTTATTGAAATTACTTTGGAGAACTCAAATACAAATTAGCCACCATTATATGTTGCTTATGAAACCAGAGAAAAGAAAACAGCATAGTGAGTTCATCAGGCTACTAGAGCTCCCACGTGAAAGGTTGCACATATGCTCCCACGTGAAAAGATGCACATCTGCTCAGTCACCTCGAGCCAGAGCAGTGCTGTGGCCTTCCCAGTCTCAAGGGAGACAGCTAACTGCCTAGTGAGACACACTAGAGATATGAAATTTCCTCATAGGCAGCACTAATGATTTCAGCTATAGATTTAAAAAAAAAGAAAAAAAAATCACTCTTGCCTTCCTAAAAGCATTTAAACAATAACCAACCATTTTGTTTCATTTTGCTTTTTAGTTTAGACTGAAAACATTTAGAATTCATTCTTTTATAAGGAAAAACTTAATTTTTATTCTGCTTGTATGAGTGTTTTGCCTGAATGTATATAAATATACCATGTGTGTACAATGCCCTAGGAGGTCAGAAGAAGGCATCCAATCCCCTGGAACTGGAGTTAAAGGCAGTTATGAGCCACCATGTGGGTACTGGAAACCTGACCCTGGTCCTCTCTGTAAGAGCAATCAGTGCCTTTAACTGCTGAACCAATAATTCATTTCTTCATAAGCATTAAAACCTTGTAATCTATACAAATAAGAAATTATTTAAATTACAACATAATTCATTTTATTGTAACCATATCTAGGTTTCAAAAATAATCACCCATGTTTTTTTTCTGTTATAGTCTTTCAAGAATGTCTTGCTTTGGAATTTCCATTAGACTTTTTTTTCTTTCAAGTAGGGTGTGTGTGTGCATGGCCAAATGTGTGTGGGTTCATGTTTTGTTCAGATGGACTTGCACACATGTGGGTGGGCATGGATTTGAAGGCTCTAGGCTGACATCAGGAGTCTTCCTGGTTCACTCTCTACATTGTTCATTGAAGCAGGGTCTCTCAACTAAGCTTAGACCTCACCAGTTCAGATGGTCTGGCTAGCGAGCTTGCTTGGGGACTTCCAAGTCTTCATCTTCTTAGGCTAGAACTACAGGTGGGCTGCCCCACCTGCCTGACATTTACATGGACTCTGAAAGACCCCAGCTCATGCTTGCCTGGCTTCAACCACTAAGCTGGCTTCCTGTTAGGCTTTTTGAAGTACTGAAGTTAGCTCACTGGACTTTGTTATTGGTTCAGACTGAGAAACGCTAGCTTAAACCATAAGATTATTAAAAATAGCATGACTTTAAGTGTTAACAATGACACTATGACCTATCACCAGTGTTTCAAATAAAGAAGATACTTGTATGGAATATCATTTGCCAGGGCGCCATATCAAAATGCCACAATGAGCACTTGGGTCAGCAGGACTTTCCCCATTGTGTTTATGGTCTCTGTAAGCCTGTTATCAGTGTTTGCTTAGGGCTCATTTCCTCTGAGGCCTGTCTTGGTGTCTTGGAGGTAGCATCTTCTGTCATCTTCACAGGGTCACTCCTCTGTGTGTGTCTAAGCTTCTGTCTTCTCTTATGAAGACAGCAGTCAAATGCAGTCAGGGTTCATTCCTAGTCATCTTAGTTGACCTTAGTTACCCTGTAATGTGCCTACTGACCAAAACAATTACACCATGTAGGAGGAAGTGTTGCCTCAACAACCTGCGCGTGTGTGCTGCAAACGCGCCAAAAACATCCGGCTGAGTCTAACCTGTATTCTGCCAAAGGACATGGAGATAGCTGACACAAGATGGCTCGACGGAGAGGGCCAACGAGGATCAGACATGATCCGAGAAGGCCTGCTGGGGCCAATGGACACTGGGAGGGGGAATATAAGGGAGCCCCATATCTGCAATAAACGAGTCTACAGTTGCTCGCACTGCCTGCTTCTCACCTGACTCCCGGTGTCTGTGTCATGGCTCCATGCCAACTCTCCCCCACCCAAGGGGTGCTCAAGGGTCCCACAACAATACCATATGATATTTCGGGGGACAGGATTTAGTCTGTAACAGTATGAAGCTACAGTGACTGCCCACACGAGGCTGAGTTCATCGACTGAATTTTCAAATGTGAGCTGCGTGTACTTGACATGGGAGATTTCTTAAATTGATTGCTGTGGTCCACTCCACAGTCTTATTTGTTGAGTCTGGACTAGTGCTAGGGAAACTTCTTTTGAATCGGGATTGCAAATGAAGTTGTCAGGCACTGCAAGTGTGAATTCACTTTGGGAACTGCAGGCTTAATCCCACCTGGGCTGACCAAATACATGTGACATGGAAGATACAAAGAACAGAGAAGCTTTGTAATAAAGCAAGATTTCATCACTATTTTAGCACTGGCAATTTCATGCCTATCCTAACTTTTATCCCCAACTCTGAGTAAATTGAATATGGAAAACATCAGCAGAAAGAAGGCTCCAGAATACTGAGAGGAAACTGTGCCCCTAAACCCAAAGGCCTGGCATGGTGGCATACACCTCGAATCCCAGGATTTGAGAGGCAGAGACAGGCCTGTGGGATAGAAGCCAATCTGGGCTACATAGGCGTTCCAGGCCAGCTAGGGCTACTGGGAGACCATGTCTCAAAAGAGCAGTGACAGCAGCAATAAGCCAGGCAAGCATATAGTGAACTAAGTAGGTGATCCCCTATCTCTTACTAGGTTCAAAAGGATTTTTCACAAAGTATAAATGAATAAAATTTCTATACTAGTCTCTTAGAACATTAAAATTTGACTCTATAGCCCAAATTCTTTTCTTTCCTTTTTTCTTCCTTCCTTCCTTCCTTCCTTCCTTCCTTCCTTCCTTCCTTCCTTCCTCCCTCCCTCCCTCCCTCTCCCTCCCTTCCTTCTTTCCTTTTGAGGTCATTTGGATTAATTTTATGCTTTCTTCCCCACATTTTCAATGTTTACAATGTTTAATCCCTTAGTTCTGCTGTTTTCTATTCTCGTTTGAGTCTAGTTGGTGTTGAAATAATTTCCTACTATAGTAAAATAAATGCTCAATCAGTTGTTGGCTTTCTAGGGGGTTAATGGAGATTTATTTTCCAAACAAAATAGGAGGTCAATACTTTTATTCTGGGACAAGTCAGTTATTACAATGGATTTTAATCAAGGGAATTAGAATGGTAGCTGAAAATAAGTGAAGAAAACCAAAATAAAAATACACAGACAAAAGTCCCATTCTGTGAGCATTTCTTAAAGTTTTAATTAAGTTCAAATGGTATTTCTAAGGTAAGAAAAAAATCAACAGTGAACAACAACAACAAAAAATCCAACATAAACATCCATGTGCACACACATGAAACGCACGACAACAGATGCTCAGACTAAGCTTTGGCAAGACTCTGCTCCACTAGGAATACTCCTTTCCCTCCCAAAGAGACTGTGTGGTTGACCACTGTGACTTACAGCTTACAAATGTTTTAAGTAGTCATTTTTTTAAACACATCATTCTGAAATCTCAGTGCCATACCTAGTAATTCCTATAACTTGAACTGCTAGAAGAGTTGAAACAGAAATCAGATTTTTTTTCTCTAGGATTGTGACTTTTTTTCACTAGTTTATGAGTTTATGAGGTTAATAAGATTAGTGATTTCCTCACAGAGATACTAAGGGAAAAAAATTCAAACAGAGAACCTCTCAATGACGTGAGAGTTAGAGAATCCATGTCAATCATAGCTATTTGCTTTCCAAGTTGTGGTCAGACAAATATTAAAATTCTGCTTTAGTGATGTTGTTGGTAAAAACTTATGAAATAATGGCACTTCCCCAAATGTAGGATTTGCCAACTCTAGCCAGCTATGGCTCCTGAATCTTTCTGACTTGTGACAAACATCTCTTAGCCCTTCTTAGCCACTAATAAAAAACTTGTGCTGATCATAGATTTTCCCAAAGGATCCCAAGTTTCAAGGACTGGAGGGGAGAAGGACTGGGTTTGCATGCTGGCTTGCTTTTCATAATGTCCAACTATAGAGTCAACTGGTTTTAGTTCCATGTTCCCTAAGCGTGGAGTAAGCTCATCTTCTGTGCCTGTGGAGATAAGTTATATGGATCTTTACAGATTTAAACTCATTTTAATTTAAGTACAACTAAGATATAAATATATGTGGACCACTTTGCCTTTACCGAAATTGATGTCAGAATAAGATGAAGTTTATTATAAAGCTAATTGAAACAACAATTTCTTGCCTAGTGGACTGGCTGGTAGCAGCCATCTGACCCTGTGTTTAAGAACTTTCTAGATTTCTGACATGTGGAGAAGAAAGCATTGTAGAAAAGGGAGAAGGATTTCAATGTCTATAGTTTCAGAAGAAAAATCTGTACAGAATTAAAGAATGGAAGATGATCTCTATCATATTACAACACTGCCTTTGGAAACCATTTACTTCTTATAAGCAAAACCAGTATTTCTTCATAAGATTATGACTGTCCCCTAAATTCAGTCATTTATTGTAATTCTGAGTAATATTTGCAAGTTGTAAGAATGTCATTCAATTTTAAAGCATTGACACTATCTGAGATGTAGCTTGTGATTAGAGCTTCAGTTGTTTAATGACACTTTTCTCTTAATGATGGATGCAAGCCTCAATGTGCACTGATATTTAGAGGACGGTTTCCTAATTTTGTTCTTTCTTCCCACTGCAGATCAAGTATCACCATGTTTTGCTTGTTG